ACTACAGTTTATTTTGACACGGAAGACTGACGTTCTAAACTTTTGACCATTTTTATAAAGAAGAACTTGCGTGAATTTTATTTTGAAGTTAAGCCTGATCTTCGGACAAGTATAGCTCTCTAACTTTTTATGAACTAGTATTAAAATTGTTAAAAAAGAAGGCCAAAAAAAAAAAAAAGAGAAAGAAAAAAAAATCGTAGCAGTTTACTGCCTGCTTAGCAGGGAACTAAAATATTTTCACTTCATCTGAACGAATTTACTGCTTTTCATGTAAAGCTGAAGTTGTTTCGGGTACCACAGATGGGGCTTCCTTCAGAGAAGCCAGTTAACTACTACGATTTTTTTTTCTTTCTCTTTTTTTTTGGTGTTCTTCTTTAGCAATTTTAATACTAGTTCATAAAAAGTTAGAGAGCTATACTTGTCCGAAGATCAGGCTTAACTTCAAAATAAAATTCACGCAAGTTCTTCTTTATAAAAATGGTCAAAAGTTTAGAACGTCAGTCTTCCGTGTCAAAATAAACTGTAGTCCACTTTCTTATAATGAAATCATCTTTTCTCCAATTTCTTTTGTTATATACAATGTTCCATTGTCCTAAAAGATAAACATTTCTAGTCTTCTCTCTGGGCTGAAAAAAGAAAACACAATACAGAAGAAGAAACTAAAGTTATTTAAGAGAGGAGCATTATTTTTATTTTTTAAATCAAATTTCTCTACCAGCCATCCTGCTTGCAGACCTCTGGGCTCTCTTTCTACAGTTACATGAATTTGAATTTCTTTTCTAATATCCTCTTACCTTTTTTAGGTATTGCTATTAAAACATAGGAGAGGGATGGGCATATAGGACTCTTGATTCTTCTCAATCACTCTCTGCCTGAGACTTTTATGAGGATGGATGACCTTTCTAAAGAACTTCTAAGTCTCACCTAGAAGGAAATATTTTCAGGCATGGAAGCATACATATTGCTGTAAGCTCCATGTGAATGTGTTGTGTGCACACAGAATGGGTGTGTCCGAATAGGTTTAGATGTTGAGTGCTACAATGGCCAAAAATGGAATTCCATACATGGCATGTGGGAACAACATGAGCCAATTATTTCTGACTCCAAGCTCAGTTGCAGTATCTCTCTGCTATTCTGTGGGATGCTTGTCTCACAAAGATTATAAAGGGCTGGTTTGTGGAGGACACAAACCCTGAAGTTACTTTGTGAATGAAGTATCCAGTCAGAAGAAAACTAGAAACCAACATGTAGTTTTGCTCTATACGAAAGATAATGAGAGCCAGTTTGGTGCAGTGATGGGTTATGAATCCCGTTGCAACTGATACAGTGCAGCGGGGCTGGGTGTCCACCACGTGACCTTACCACCCACGATGCTCCACGACGCCTCCACAATGCTCCAGCTGCTCGGCGGAGCATTGTGTAGATGCCGTAAGCTCCCTGCGCATGCACGTAAGCCCCAAAAATTTCAAATACTGTTAAGGACCATGGGCAGGCGGGTGGGCCCTCCCGAACACCGTATCGGAACGGTACTTGTTGCTCCTGGCAGGCACTGGTACGCCCATACCGGGGCGTACCAGTCGTAACCAACCATTGGTTTGGTGTAATAGTTAAGGTTAGAAACCAGGACTTCTAGCTGGTGACCTTAGGCCAGTCACTTGATCTCAACACCAGGAAACCACTTCCAAAATCTTGCCAAGAAAATTGAAGGAAGACGTCTAGGCAACTCCCAGAGGTCGAGAGTGTTTTGAAGTCACACATACATTCACAAAAGGCCATTGTTGATAAGAATTATATTAGGCATCCTAGGCATGCTTACTCAGAAGATCTCGTTTTCATAAAAGTAACTTATTCCCAAGTCATTAAGCATAAGATTGTAGCATTTCCCACTTTAATAAGGAATCTTGATTTCAATACTTAATGAAATCAGATAGAAGAGAAGAATAATTCTTGATTGGTCAAGTGTGATTGGACACACAAGGGATTTGTCTTTGGGGCTCTCAGTGTGCACGAAAAGAGAAGAGATAATATCTATTTGCCTTTTCACAAAACAACCCTGCATCAATTTACTTTGGGGCCTTTAAGATATGTTAATGTAAACTTTGAAGGAGGAATGACTTTAGTGAATAGCTAAAAAATCAAAGGGGTGGCTTATGTTCCTTCCAATGTGCATGTCTGTGCATTAACCCCCACACAAACACTGTCAAAGGTTGGGTGCACACAAAATTAGGTACTGCAAAACAACAACAAATTTAGGTTCTCTTACATTTCAGGCTTGCAATTTGCAAGAAAGCTCACATTGGTTCTCAAGCTCAAGTGCAAGAGCGAGAATCACTTTGGGCCAACACAGCATGGACTGAGTCAGCATACTGCGGGGGGGGGGTTATATATATTAGTAGATTCTCACGGGTGTAGGTATGCTGGTCTTGTTGTATTCGGGTATTTTCCCGGGTAAGATTGAGATTGTCTTGGCAATGTTTCGACGAGATCTCCCTCGCCATCTTCAGGCTGGTGTTTTCGGCTTAAAGCATGGTCGCTCTTGCATTCTTGGTGGGGGTGTGTGGAGTGCTGGCTTTGTTTCAGTAAGTGGATTGATTGGCTGTGTGGTTGTATCATGATTGGTAGATT